TAATGGAAGTGTTTTTGAAGCGCAGTTTCTTACTGCGCTTGTATCACTAGAATTTACACTGGACAAACGTGCCTGTTATTATGGATCCTGTAAATTTCTTATAACCAAATGATTTTAACATACACTTATGCCAACGAAAGTGTAGGGGTATTGGTTGTTGTTTTCATTTACAGAGAAGTAATTAGGACATAAATACAGAAATCGAAATTGATTTGAGCCACCTTTTGCGTCCGTGAGAGGGGGGGGGGGGGGTCTGAATCTCCAACTTTTCAATTACACATCCGACGCTCAACCAATGAAGCTACGACAGAGTGCGCTTCCTCATTCACTTCTTTAGAAATTTCTGTCCATTTAATCTCTGCGAATATTAGCCAAGGTGGCGTCCGTCGCAGCTCAGCTGGTACAGCACTGGCCGCGTAATCTAAATGTCGTGGTTTCAGATCCCGCCAATAAAATGGCTCGTTTTTCATTTGCTTAAATTCATTTGTTTTTATGTAATCACCATACTGCACTGCAAGCAAGGAAGCCAGGCTTTCGCGGTATACGCAGCAGTCACAGCGAAAACAGGGCGAGCTCATTGTAAACTCTCTCGGGGGGCGGCACTCCAAGTAAAGTTGCAAGGTACACACTACGTCATAAATTCTCAAAATTTTGCCAAGTACCCACGTACCTAATATGCGATTATTCATCACTCTGTGGCGATGTGAGGTACCAGATACACATCTGTAAAACATTATGTGCACTTTGTTGATGCTGTGGCTCAAGGTGATGAAGAGTTATGGCTCAATTATTTGTAGTGGGTGGGAAGCCCTAAGTGGCGTGCTTGTCACTCAATTCGCATTATGTGACGCGTTGTTCGCATTGTACTCTGCCAGGTTATATGCATCAACGCGATTTTTGCCCGGCACGGCGTCTGTATGGGAACTTCTTGCAAAGGAGTTTTATGCATAGTGTAGCTATGTGATAGAATAATCGGCTGTCGTGCAGAGAGAGGGCCGGAGTTCAAATCACGACCTATAATGGATGTTTTTGTTTTAATTGTAATTGATCGCGGTGACGGACACAGGTGATGCCGGCGGTGGAGTCGGCTGTTGTTGTTATCTCCCAGCATATTTCGCCGTAAAACGACAAATAATGCTCCCTATTCCTTTCTCGGATTAAGTGCCTGCTGGATTCATTTCGTTGTGTCTAATAAACAAGCTCCTAAAAAAAAAGAAATCGTTTTCCGAGTATATGTTAAATACGTGAGCATCATCCGCAAGGCAAATTTTTTTTGCGACACGAGAGCAACACTCGCGCAACTTCCTTCCGCAGAAATGGTCATTTCTCAGTGCTACGCTAAAGTAGGGGGCAACCGATCGCGACGCAGCCTAAGAGTTCCGACGTGCAGGAAACCTTGAAAAATGCTTTTCTCCGCGCGACTGTCGCCATTGACCCAGACAGTGCCTTGAAGCGACGACTGAGCAGATAATGCGGCCGCCGTTGCAGAAGCAGCAGCTGGCGACGACGGCAACGCCGGAGGTCGCGTATCGTACGCTTGCGTGCCCGTATGCCGCACTCCGAGGCGCTAGACTCCCCGCTGCGCTTCTGAAGAATCGAGGCTGCAGCCACGACGGCCACGCGCTCTTCTCTCGCCGTGCTTCTTTCGCAGAGGAGAAGCAGCCGATGCGTGCGTGCGTTCAGTCGGTGTGTGGCCCCAGCAGAAGGCTCTCACAGGACGTCTCTCTCGCGCTCTTTCAATGTTTTCCTCTGTGTCATGCGCTCCGCATTCTTCAATGTCCACTTCACGGCCGCCTCCTGCTCTCGGCGGCGCCTTCTTCTCTACCTGTCTGCCGAAATGCACGCTGCCGGCGCGAGAAAAAGGCGGGGCTCGCTTTCCTGCGTCGTAAGGAGACGACAGGTATTATGGAAGAGGAGCGCGCTAAGGGTGCCGGCGACAGCTGGTCGCGAGCGTCGCAATTTCCGCCTCGAGCGCGCGTTGTATATGGGAAAGCCGAAGCATGGACGGTCGCGTATTCGAAAACGGTGATCATTTATCGGGGACCATGCTTAGGGGTTTGTAACAAAAAAAAAGAAAAAAGAGAGGCGCTTTCTGATGTTTTCGATATTGTATCGTGCTTCGCCGCTAAAGGGGCGTCGCTCATCACTAAGATCACTAAGGAACACGAGTTAGCGTGAACGAGGAGCAAAGAAAAACTGAAAGAAGTCGCATGGTTCTTTTTCCCTTTGCTTAAGACATCGTAAAGATCAACATCCTCCCCTCGCCCCCCCCCCCCTCCCCAATCTCCAAAGGTTCCTGCACCTAATGTGTTTTAACATTGCCTCCGAGATCGGGGGATGGCACACTTTCTGCATCTCATGCGGTATTTGCAGTGCCTCCAGCAACGGCCATCCTTTGATCAAACGATGATGATTTTACAGTGGGATGCCACTTCACGCTACACGATGACGCCTCAATGTTGCGATTTCGGACGCCATGATGACGTCATAATGGGGCGTCGTCACAGAGTGCAGATCTTTTGCATCTAGTTTTGACACCGAGAGGTAATTACCGCGTTTAATGAAGCATCTGAGGCTTTCTCTTCAGAGGAGATTATAGACGGAAGGAGCAGCAAGCGAAACTCGCGTCATCATCCTCATTCTTTGGCTAAATGTAAAAAGTGAACTCATCACGAATGGTTTGAATGAAATTCGAGATAGCTTGATCCCAAGCTTTGCTGTGCTGCGGTGGCGTTATAGAGTAAAAACAAAAGAAAAGCACTAGCTAATATTATAATTAGTGATAATATTTGATTAATGTGATTGATATGTGGGATTTGACCTCCCAAAACTGCCATAAGACTATTACAGCCGTCGTAGTGGAGAACTTCGGAAATTTCGACCACCTGGGGTTCTTTTAACGTGCATCCAAATCTGAGCACACTGGCCTACAGCATTTTCGCCTGCACCGAAAATGCAGCCGCCGCAGCCAGGATAAAAAGCACTAGTTGTGACGACAGGCATACAAAAACGCACAAGCATACACACGCACTTTTAGCACTAGTTTTCGGTACATATTTAGGAAAGGGATGTTGTTGGGCTTTTAGTAATGAGAGGAGGGATTGAAAGGAGTGGAGGGAAATTACGCGTGCACACCTAAGGAAGTAATGCAATTTTTTTTTCGATCTGAGTGCGCTGTTGAGGAAGAGAGAGCGCTGAAGGATTATTCTAGCTTAACTAATTCAGCGTAATCGTTCCGTGCGACTCTAGCTTCGCAGACGTTGTAAAATGAGGTACACTTACATTATAAGAAAATTAAATTGACCGCGTAGTATTTTTTTTTTCTGCCTTAAAAGTGCGCGTGCAATAAGTACTAAATGTACGTCATAATTCTGCCTTTACGAAGATACTTGTTTTTTTTTACGAGTAAACAACAGAGATTTAAGCACATATTATGCTCCCTTGTCAGAGCCATGCGTAGTTGGCACGCGAAAATCGGAACTCTCCCACAACAACAGCGCTATGAAACGCGATTTATGTGATGAGGTATTAGGTGGTACAATGAATCCTGGGGTTCGAGGAGTTTATCAAGGAATAGAGATGACTGCGCACACAGAGCATTAAGTGACATTTCTGTGTGTTTGTTTGTTTGTGTGTTTTTCTTTCTTTTCGTGCCCAACATTATTCGTTTATTAAAAAGAACATAGTCGAGTCTGTGCGACCACTTATCGTACCTCTACGCAGCCTCCTGCACACTCGCAGGGCTCCCTCTTTCTCTCTCTACAGCTTTCCATTCGTGTTTTCTATCATCTCCGGTACAGACTTGCAGCCTGGTAACTGGAATTCATGAGAAAGTGTGCTACGGGTGTTCTGAGGGCTTCGCTTTGTGATACTCTTCCGGGCATCACCCTTCCATCGCACAGGTTGAAAACCTTCACACAGGTTGCGTGCCATGAAGGATAGGCTGGAGGCCAACTTTTCCTCTCTCTTTGTTGGTTACTCGCACGGCCTCTCCATCGTACTTTCTTCTTCTCTTTCGTGTCTTTTTACCTTATCTTTTTATTTTACGATTCGGTACGAAAGAGCATCGTCATTGTGCGTTCTTATTCTCTGAAGTAGATTCGCTGTCATAGTAAACGTTCTGCTCTATAATTTGCGTGTTCATGCGGATGTGTTCACTAATGCCTTGCATCTCGTTCTTTTCTAGGTAAGTGGACCCAATCTTCTACGAAACATTCTTCGTCACGTGAGTACTACACAGCAGCAAATGCAGATGAGTCGACGCAGTATAAAAACGCCGGCGTGGTTATTCCGAAAAAAAAAGAAAAAAAAAGATAAAAAATGGGCCGCCTTTTCCGGTTTTGTGCACTAGAGACGGGAAGACGAACTTCGTTATAATGATGGTTTTTGAGGAAAGTTCTAAATTACTTTCTTAAGCTGGAATTGGGGTGGATGTGGGGCGGAGGGCTTGTACGTGAGGATACATTCCTTTTAGTAGATATAGTGTTTGCTAGACATATAAGACGATAACAGTGCCAGTAAGGCATGAAAACAAATATGGTGGGGTATTCGTCGTGTAACAGGTGCCGGTTACAAAATGCGCCTAATGTTATAGGTTTTCGTCTCTATAGTTATGCCAATTCGTCGTATTGAGCACCCTGCAGCAATGTGACTATACTCTTGGCGAGTTTATTAGTTCTGTACAAAACTCCGTTAAGAAACGTTTCGAAGAACTCCTTCAAAAACGATTGCTTTCCATCCTGGTGATGCTACTCTAATTTGTTATTGCTGGCTTGATGTGGAGAGGTCGGATACTCTATTTGTGTAGTTTTCGCAGCAAAAAAAAAAGGGGGGGGGAGTGGGGTGAGGTGACTCAGAAAACAGTGAAGGAAAAAAAAAACTTTTAGCAAACTGAATCAAGTAAACAAAATAAAGTTCGCTAAAACTGTTGCTTCGGCGGGTTTGCACTGATAAATCAGTCTAGATAAACAAAATAAGCCCGGAAAAATAGGTGTACTCACATTTATCGTCACAGATAGGCGGTGATCGGGAAACTGTACAATGAAAAAAAAAGAAACTCTGCATGCTTCGTGCAAAGCATGGGATAATGCTGCTTGATTCCTGGAACACACACACACACACACACACACACACACGCACACGCACGCACACACACGCACGCACACACACACACGCGCACACACACACACACGCGCGCGCGCACGGGCACGCACATACGCACGCAAACACGCACGGGCACGCACATACGCACACACACACGCACGGGCACGCACAGACATACGCACGCACAGTCAAGATGGAGTGGAAATGATTGAAAGTAAGGAAAAAGAAGAGCAGCGGAAGATTTGCAGGACTTCCGTGCATTTCTCATTACTGAAGCAATCAAGCGATTCACCATTTGTATAGAAATCTCGGCTTGTTCGTCATTTCTGTGTTTACCTTTACCCTAGATAAAGTTGCTTACTAGTGGTTTTCTGCTCTTGATCTGCGTATTTTGTATTTGTCCACACATCCGGTTGTACTTCAAAGTTTAGTGCGTAGCGCTGCCAGATGCAAGATAACAATGCTCGCCTGCAGCATACATTTATACTGGTGTCTGTCCTTTGCAAGAAGTTCTCACGCATGGCAATCATTCAGCCTTCTCTTGGAGGTGCGTGCGTTAGATCACAGCGAAGCCCTCGAGGAAAGCAACATTTCCTGGTTTGGGCCCCATCGAAAGGTAAATCAAGATGGATAGCGATTCTGCCTCCGTGGAAATACGTGAGTGCAATAACACACGCGATATGGGCCTGTGTGCAAGTCGCCGTTAGGTTTATGCAAAAACCACAACCAAAGATAACAAGGGGAGGACTTCGTCAATAAAGAAACAAGTGCGCGTAGGTTCACCACGTGTTGCATGATTTGATGGCCTACGAGGTTTTTCTTGTAGGTGGTCTTAGAAACCTGATGTAGAGGCGGGTCGATTGTCGTGAGCGCAGTTGCTTACTAGGTAAATAATGAACTTGTCCGGGAGTGGTTCAAGCCAATGTATACCAAACAGCTCACTTATCTCTTTTGTTTTTGCACCAGTAGAAGCGTATTTCACTTTGAGCACTTATTCACGTGTCGAACGGTTAGGGCTGAAATAGGTTCAAGTACGGTTTCTGAAATGTTGTCATGGTTTGCGAATTCCTCATTTTCTTCAGCCTTTCCGTTCTGTGGCGGCTCATGTTGGCGGTTGTTGGCAATATAGTAGCAAGTGTTCGAGCCTGTAGAAAGAGATGTGTTGTTTGGGTACGTCAAAAGCTGCACGAAATGTTCTTGAGTGGAAGGTAAACAAGAAAAGCGTTTGGTTGCTGTTAGGTTGTCTACATTGCTTACAGAAAAAGTGGGCCCGGAATTAAAAGAGAGAGAGGCATTCTTGTGGCTCTGTCTGTACACATAAAAGCGTTGACAAAACAACTATAGAAAGTCGTCACAAAGAAGAAAGAAAAGAGACAGCTATAGAAGGTGCGAGTGTCAACTAGAAAAGCTTCCTCTTTGCTACTCTGCAATAGTAGGATGCAAAAAGAAATATGAGAAAGAGATAGAAAAAGGGCGGAAAAGAAGTGAAATAATTGAAGCCTGCTGGACTGCACTACAAGTCAGAAGCGTTCGCACAAGCTCATCATCCTCAAGAAGCACGAGGTTGTCTATACTGCATGCCTCGTGGGCCGGCGGGAGATTAGGATAATGCTCCATCATCACCTCGATGGAAAAGTTCACAAAATGTCATGAGCTGGGGCCCACGTAACTGCACAGATGTATAATGATTTCATTCTTAGTCGCTTAGCTTTAGTGAAAGCGTCTTTCATATACTGCAATAGCAAATCAAATGTTAAAACGCGCGCCCTGCCGCGGTGGTCCAGTGGCTAAGGCACTCGGCTGCTGACCCGCAGGTAGCGGGATCGAATCCCGGCTGCGGCGGCTGCATTTTCGATGGAGGCGAAAACGCTGTTGCACCGTGTATTCAGATTTGGGTGCACGTTTAAGAACTCTAGAGGGTCGAAATTTCTGCAGCCTTCCACCACGGCGTCTCTCGTAATCATATGGTGGTTTTGGGACGTTAAACCCCTCATATTATTATTTATGCTAAAACGCACACTTCTGTCCGAATACTGTACAGAACACGCAATATAATTTGCAGATCAATTTATTTTATTTTACAGCTCTGTCACTAATGGTTCTCTAGTAGGAAAAAAATATATAGCTGTTGGCTACTAAGCTTCCGTTCAGAAGAGTTCGCAGTACGCCGCGCAATGTGCTTTGAGGACGTATATTTTCTAGCTGCAGTATCAATGTGCAGAACTTCTGTCACTAATAGTTGACTATCTTCTGCTTCAAGCACTGTCGTCCATGGCAAGCCATGAACAGTTTAATTATGACGCGTAGCTTTGACCACACGGGGCGAACCTCTTCGCACAAGGACAAGCTGAGATCTCTCTTTTCGCAAAGTACATTCTTGAGAAGCTGGGTGGGGCACTTTTTCTTGGGTATAGTTATTTGTCGAGCTGTTGAACGCGCAGCAGGATGCTTTGGTGAAAGCCAAGTATTACACGTAGACACTGCCAGAGTCCCATTCTGCAAAGGCGGGTGACAAACGAAGTGGCACAGAGAGAGCGCCCACTCAGCAGTCTCCCAATTCCGGAACCGTCTTGGAACTACCATACCCCTGCTCTTCAGTTTTTTTTCTTCTTTCATGCGTTTTCCCATCTTGCGGCAGAGGCTGCTGTTTCAGCTCGTTTCTTTCACTCACTGACCTCTTTGGCGCAGAGGTCAGAGGTTACGGGAAGTCGTGAAGACCGAGTTGCTCCTGCGTGGCGGGAGATCCCGGCCTGCGGTCGGAGCCGACTCATGTAGGCGGTGAAAGAAATTGTTCGAGAGCCGAGAGCGGCATGGTATACCGTACGATAGGGGCGCGCACCACAGACGGCATGCGGTATACTTTATTGACCCATCATTTCTATTCTCGCGAGGTGTTCCAGAGGATGCTCTGAGCGAGAAGGTGCTGGCTTCGCGAAAGCGAACGTGTTATAAGAGCTTGTACATAGTGTTATTTGTGTTTCCCCGTCAGCACCGTGTCTTCGCTTCTACCAGCGATGCCCGCCGAAGGTGCTCCGGTACGAGGACTCACACTAGACTCACTTGGAGAAATCTTTTAGCGAAGAAGCTTGGCCAAAGAGAGCTTTGGAATAAAGCGGAGAAAGCGCGAGTCGAAACTGTCTGAGTTCGCCGTGACCTCCCGACAGCACCGAATGGGCCCCGTGCTGAGACGAAGGAATATATTCCAGAGCTCAATTATTTACAACGCTTCTGTATATCCTTACTCGTAGAAAGTACAAAATTTATCACACGTTACCACCGCCACGTCAAGTTCCCCCCACTACACTGACCAATGATGAAATGCTTGCAGGTGTGAGAATGTGCGCGAAAACGGTTCTCTACAAAATAAATTAACGCTTAATTCAAGCATTTTGCTGAGTCCGCAGTATTTTTTTTTAAACTAACAAAGCCCGCTTTGTTCCATGTCTGTATATCGGCGTTTTTGTGAGCGTGTATAATTTTGGGGGAAGTAACTGATCTTTTTTTATAGTTCGATGTGTTCTTAATAGGCTGGATATTCATTCGCTCTTTGTTTCGCTCTTTATTCATTCGCAAAGATCTTCGAATGAAGATCTTCGCGAATTCAGGCCCCTCTGCCCGTCTTTCGAGATTTGTTGACGCTTCCACTCTTCCCTGGCCCAAAATACAGGTGTGTGCGTTGCACTTGCGTTCAGCAAAGTGTGTTGACGAGGCAAGTGACATTTAAGCAACATTCACTGACATAACTTATACATCGCTCCTAATTTAGTCATATTTACACAATACTAGTAATCGAATCATTAACCAACACCAGGCAACGTTAGCCATTGTTTAGCGGAAATTCGCGATTTTCTTTTAGTTAACATGAGCTAACGCTTTTCAATACTAAGTATCTCTAACGTCACAGTAATCACGCAAATCAGTGCTGCCTAATTGAGTGCAAGTCATTGAAGTTATCCAGGAAATTACCAGTGAGCCTTTCGCGCTTATAAACCAGCTTCGAGATTACGCAAAGAGAACGTTGTACAAATAATATAAACTGGAGAAGGTATGCCGACTATATATCTCACCGGAATCGCAATCGGAGGCCTCGATTTCTGAGCTCCCTCGACACCGCTACTGCTGCGATGGCGCAGACAATCCATTGGTAGCTCAAAGGCTTCAGAGAGGCCCCACTATCTCTGGGTCTGTGAATACGTGTGTTTGCTGTCGCATAGATTGTGGCAGCGACACCGCGTGGACCTCTATATAAAGCAATCGCTGCCTTGCGAACAGTGTATATAGTTTGGTTCAGAGCACGAAACGGCGACTCGTCTGGCAGGGATGTGCAAAGGCGGGCATATAGCACGGGCTGTGCCGTTGTTTTGATAACGCCTACAATTCATTAGGGGCCTCTTCGCAGTGAATCGATCGACCTCGCGATGTCACCCCCCCCCCCCTTTTTTTTTTTTGCGTGTGCCTGCGGACTGGATGATAGAGAGACGCGTACCTCGAGGCAGTCGAAAGGTGCGAACGATGGAAGCTCGATCCTGTGCTCGAAACAGCCGAAAAACACGATCGCTGCCCTGTTCTGGCGGGTCGCTTATATAGTTTATCGATCTTTAGAGCAAAAGAAAATAAAAGCAAGAAAAGGGTTTCATGTACGAAAGAGCATATGCACTATGCAACGTGAAGCTCACAAACCAGCGTTTTCATAACAGCCAGACAAAGAAAGAGATAGAGAAAGAATGAAAAAGACACAAAGAGCTGGGGAACACTGGACCACCTTGTGTTCATGCTACGTCTACTGATGTCACAAAGAAAACGTGCGTGTGTTTGGAGACACGCACACACAACACACACTAGTTTCCGGCTCCCTTGCCCCCCCCACCCCTCCGCACACACACACACACACACACACACACACACACACACACACACACACACACACACA